CACAGCTGGTTCCAGTGGGACACAGCCGGTTCCAGCCGGACACAGCCAGTTCCAGCCGGACACAGCCGGTTCCAGCTGCACACAGCTGGTTCCAGTGGGACACAGCCGGTTCCAGCCAGATCCAACTGTAACTGCAGGGCCGGGCTGAGCCACAGCCAGGCCAGGGCAGGAGCACCATGTGGAAGTGTAGGTAAAGAAGGGCAGAACATGGAAACAGTGGTGAGGAGTGTGGGGGGGGAAAGTGTGAGAACAAGGGAGAAAAAGAGGAAAGGGAAGGCTTGCTGAAGGAGCAGAGACCCCCCTGCAGCCTGAGGAGAGGATCACAATGGAGCAGATGCCATCTGTGGAGACTCCATGAAGAACCTCCCTGCTGGAGCAGGCGGGTGCTTCCCGAAGGAGCTGCAGCTTGAGGAGGGCTCATGCGGGGCAGGCTTACCCCAGAGTACTGCAGCCTATGGGGAGAAGAGAGGAGCAGCAGAGTGGCTGCTCAGGACTGACCACACAGCTGTATCAAGCTTAGTTTCCCCAAAAACAAAATTATTTTAAAAATCTTACTTGCTGCAAACACTTGACCATGAAAATCTTAAAATTAGTCATAATATTGAACTTTATGAAGAACCAATATCCATTAGATATTATCTCATAGAACTGTCCCATTTATTGCATAATACTTGCCCTTTTAAAAAGCTGTTTTTTCTTACACTGCTTTAAAATATCATGTTGTTTCCTGGAAAGAGAAAAAGCTTTTCCTTCTCAGTGTGAGTATGGGGAATATTATTCTTGTCATTTTATTCCTTTAGGTAGAATCCCTTCATGCTTTATATATCATGTCAAATATTAACCACTGAAAGGACAAAAACCAACCAACCAAACAAACAAAAAAACACCCCCACACACTACAACCTTTCTATTTATATCATGAACACAGGGGTTTTAGATCAAGATCCAAAAAAAAGTAAGGCCTTGGAGTGGAGCAGGTGTGTAACAGCACAACTTCCCAAGCATCAGTTACAGACAGAAAGCTTTTATTTGGTTAGCAACCTTAGCATTCCCACAGGACACTGCCTTTTCAGTCTCTGTTCAACATTTATCCACAGTCAAAACTTTATTCTTAGTAGATGTCACTGATGCCCGTTAGATATCTTCACTTGTAGTATAGTGTTTAGGTAGCTTATGCTTAAAGTTAAGTACTTGAAAGGTGAGACAACTTAGTACTTGAAACTGAGACAAGATCACATTTGTGTGTGCAACCTTCCAACTGAATGGAATAAATATTCCATTTCTCTTTTAGAGCAGTATTACATTCCTGCACGGTGGTGGACTTGCCGTATGGTTAAATACAGAACTAAATAGAAGAGTACAGGGACAGAAGATTAATTTCCTAATGAGAAGCAAGAGGGGACACAACCGCACACCCCAAAGTTGCCTAAGAGAGCATATATCAGACCAGATAGCACACTTAATTTTATTAAGCAGAAACATGATTTTTGTTCATAAAATAGCTCATGCATAAATTGATTGTGTTGATATTTACTGTGTCCAATAAGTAGTGTCACTGAATGGTCTAAGGATACATTCATAGCCAAATCGAAGTATGGGTGAAGAAAAAGTCATCTGTGTGCAAGCAATTTCCTGATAATGGGAAATAACTGTAAGGTTCTGAAAACATTTGTAAAGACTCTGAGTCCACAAAACAATCCAATCTGTAACAAAACACCCACTGAGATCAATGAAAGCACAATCCCTGAACTGACCAGACCCACACAAGTCACAGATATGTCTGATATTACTGTGGAAAACCTGTGAGTCAAACTATCTTTCAATGCACTACCTGATGATAGCATGAGCCAAACCAGGTCCTTCAGCTTTGGAAAGTTGTGCTCAAGATTTGGCAGAAAATAATTTTTGTAGGATAGTTTTGTGAATTAAAGCTTTTTCTAATTAATAATTGAAAAGAATAGAAGGAAAATGCTGAGCTGAATCTAACATATTTATCATAAAAAATACCTTTCAAGAACATGTGAAGCATTCTATTTTGTAAATATTGCAAGAGTAAGGTTTTATACCTTGAGGGAGAAGCTCATCATCTCCACTGCTGTTAAATTTGTGTTCTCAAATTATTCTTGGTAAGTACAATACCTTCTTACCACAATTGTTTTATAGATAATTAAGGCATCAAACTAAAACTCCATCAATCTTATTTAGAACAACAAAATTTCCTTGAATTTGCAGTACCTGCTATGCAAAAACTGCTGAAATGCCATGTAAGAATATACTTATCATAACCTTTGCAGTGGCATAAAAATTCTGCGTTCTTAGGGTTTTATCACCATTTAAAAATAATCTCCAAATTCATCTAAGCATCCCCCCCATCAACAAGATGCAATTGGTACTCAGGTACTTCTCATATGAAGGTCAGATTTTTTTCCAATACAACTCCAGCCCAATGGTCAGCTACGCAGAAGTTCGAGCAGAAAGAAATTAGGAATATAGGTCAGAGTTTAAAGCAGAGAATATGGATCACAGAATCACAGAATAATGAGATTGGAAGAAATCTCTAAGATCATCAAGTCCAACCTATGCCCTAACACCTCAACTGGACTATAGCACCAAGTGCCATGTCCAGTCTTTTTTTAAAACACACCAGAGATGGTGATTCTACCACGTCCCTGGGAAGACAATTCCAGTACTTTATTATTCTTTTGGTGATTTTTTTTTTCCTAATATCCAACCTATACCTTCCCTGAAGAGTCAGAAACAAATCTTACATAACATATAGACATGGAGCTCTAGAAGAATTTTACAGTACTCTAATGAGATTTTTTTTTTTTTCGCTTAGTAGAAACTTGAAAGGTTTGTCACATCTTTCTGCTTCAGTATGGTATTCATCTTGTCAGCCCTTCCATTTTATTTAGTTTGGAAAAATAAGCTTCACTTTAATACATCAGTGCATAGTTTTCATTTTGGATGCTTCCCGTTTTGCAAACATTATGGTTTAAATAAACAACCAGTTCTAGACACAAGGGCAGATCCTTCAGAAGAGTGGTTTTTGTTGAAAAACCCAAGGATATTGTTACAGAGGGTTAACACAGTCAACAGACATCAATTTTTTCAAAATATGTAAAGTCCTGGATTTTTTTAACGACTGAAATACCTGAACTTTAAACCTCTCTTAAGGGATAACATAATACACAATAATCCCTAACATCTATAAAGGAGCTGTAGTCAACTCTTAAACACTTCTTTAAAATTATCTCTTTTTTTTCCTTCACCATTTATCCCTCACTTTATCTTTCACTGTCCAGCTGAGAATCAGCCATTAGTGGTAAAGAAGCTACACTGATTCAAGTTACCAGACTGCTTATAATAGCCTCCCAAATGGCACCTCATGGAGGACCATATGCCATTTCAAGTGAAGAGGATGGCAACATGCCCACTAACATTATTAGAACTAAAATTAATTTTAGATGTCCAAAACTCAGAAAATCTATTGCTCCAATTGACTTATTTTTTCTTCTCAAAATCTGCTATGTCCTTCCTTCAGGCTTCTTAGAGCTAATTAGAAGGTTCCAACTCCTGTGCAGCTGCTAGGTTATTTTTGAGCTGGTGAAGGAAGAATGTCGGTCTGCACTTACAAGAAAAAAGAGTCTCATCTCAAAGGTGGATGTAGAGTCTAAGAAGCTATTCTGACCCTCCAAGTCTGCATCAAAGAAATTGTTTTGACTTAAATGGAGTGACCATTAATATGAATTGATACACTGTAATTTGATTTTGATTTTTTTCCTGTCATATTATATTTGTCATTTACTCAGCCTTTAAATAAATGGCATTGATAATAACATGTCATTGCCTTACTGCCAATATCACACAGTTAGCATCCCAGTTTGAACCTGGGCAGGTGAAACTACTTCATATCAGAGAGAGACCAAATTTTAACCTCAAACTATTATTCAAAATTACATTACTTGCAAGTGAAGAATGGCTGGGAAGATATTTTCAGTATCAGCAGTCCAGGACTAACTTTTCATTACATTACTAATTTCTCTTGTGATTCTTTATTAGGCACATAAATAAGTTTCCTGAAACTGGCATAAAAATTCAAGTTCTACCCATGACAGGTATATTAAAATGGAGGCTCCTGAGGCTTTAAGTTTTAACAAATTGTGATAATTTTCCTGCCTCAAAACTTGGTTGGACAAGAGCAAGTCAAACCAATATGGTTCCAGTGTAACCCAGTAACTGAAATGTTTAGTGCTGAAACCTTATGAGTCCCATTGCACAGGTATAAAGGAGCAGCCAGAGCTTTTGTATTATGTGGTAACACACAGCCTTCTTCCCCCATTTAAGTTCTGGTGGTTTTTGAGATTTGTAGAGACAATGTAATAGTTGTTTGAAACATTTTCCCTTCATTGCTGTAAAAAAATGAAACATGAAAAAAAAGTTAGGTTGTGAGGTCTCTAGACAATACAACAATATATGGGGAAATTCCTAAGACTCACCAAAACAGTTTCTGAGCAGCACACTTTTTAAACAGTTAAAGCAAGAATATCAAGCTACTTCTCTCCTACCTGACAGGGTAATTTTCAGACATGTAATGAACTTAGGTTTAGAGTGCTACAGCTTCAAGTAAAGGAAAACAGAAATATTTTCTAATAGTGGAAATATTCATTTGCTAAGTCACATAAATTTAAACACTGAAATGTTATATTTAGAGAATTTCTCTTCAATTAATAGTGTTATATTTAAATGCAACTTTTCTTGTATAACACTCCAATACTGAAATATTTTAACTTCTAATTTACAAGGCATAGAAATGTATTCACTGTGAAATTAAAAACATTAACAGGATCAAAAGTTAAAGTGACTGAGAAGAAATTTGAGTTTCATTGACTGAAACTCTAATAGCTTCAAATTTTTACTTCCTCCCTATCATAAATAGGCAAAATTATCACTAGACTGATATATTAATGTGGTACCAAGATTCCAATCAAGATCATTTGTTGGTTGGAAAAAAGTGCTCTGAAAGCATCTTGTCACTGACAGGAAGAGGTTTTTCTTAATGACTTTATAGGTCTCGTAATGTAAATCTAAAATTTCAGTTTTGGGTTCTAGCGATGTGTAGGTGGCGCTGTGAGGGGGTGGCTGCCGAATGAACTCATAATGTCTATTGTTGCATTATTAGGAAGCTGCCATTAAGCAGATCTGTGCACTACCATACCTGCTTGAGCCCAATTATAAAATTAGATATTGTTTGACTCCTAAACTTGGATGCTTATGTCAAGAAGAGATCACTAAACCATCATAGGTTCAAGTAAATAGAATTTAGAAAACTTGATTTCTTCCAAAC